TTTTTTATTGGTTTTATTCTGTTGTTTTACGAATTTCTTAAATTTTATTCTTAGCTTATTAATGTTCAGCCCTTTCTTTAAAATCTAAGTATTTAAGACATGCTCCTTTATCCTTAGAGGAATTTACAATAATGATGGGGCATGGATGTGCATATAAACATAATCCCAAGGTGGGTTGGGAAATTTAGCCAGTAGTTGAATTACTGTTACTCAGAGACAATTTTGTATTATAGAAAGGAGAGCAAAATTTGGGATACAACCAGCTGTTTCTGCCACACTCACTCTTACATTTGTTCTAAAGATAAATAAAACTTTTTATTTTATGAACATACAACACTGTACTTCAGCTAGTTTAAGTTGTCAGAAATTTTTGTTCAGGTAAGTGGTCTAAAAAGTGGAACATTATGTAATTATACTCATTAAAATTTTGATGCTATTTTGCCTACAGGACAGAACAACAATAAAAACTGTAATTAAAAGCATTGACATTTTGATGATTCCTCTTCATGACAAGTAAAGCAAACACATACATACATACATTCACACGTACACATACACTCACATCCTTCTGTTACAGGATACATTCATAACCTGTATGTCTTTGGGAAACTGTTATAACTATAGAAAATGATATTTTGGATCTCTGAGTTTTCAGTAGTTTCAATAAATGTGATTTTAAAGGATTAGATTGTGTTGACAAAATTAAATTCCTCCAAGTTGTGATTTTAGGCAAATCATTTAGTGTGTTTTTTAACTTTTTCTGTGTATATAAAATATTTTTGGTAATGTCTTCCTTAATCACAGCAGTAGTATAGGAAATAATTTCAAAGCTTTAGAAAAATCTAAAACGCCGAGTGACTGCTAGAATATTTATTTACAACTCTACCTAAAGTAAAAATTGATATTAACCACTCAGTGTTTGGAAGTTTAGGGTCATGGCAAAGTGTGACAAGCATTGTTTATTAATCCAAGAATTAAAATTGCCTTATTATCAGCCTAATTAAAAAAAATAAGGATGAAATGGTACCTTATTTAATGCCCAGTAACTGTTTAACATACATTAATTTTCAGTTAATTGAAAAGTGAATACTGGACTGAGAGGTTGTTTTGCATCAACTTTAGAGTTGTTGACAGAGTTTGCTATAGTAGCAAAACTCTTGTCAGTTTTTCAGTTATTCAAGTGCAATTAACCTACACAGTAGTCTACCTCTTATTATTATTTAAACTACCATTTAGATAGTGTATTTAGTTTGAATTTGCTCAATTGCTATTTTTAGAATTTCTCATAATTGTTTTAAATCTTCTCCTGAAAATCCTTGCTTCATTAGATTTCATATTATTCTTTAAATGGTTTCATCCTTAACATTTAGAGAGAAACTTTTATTCAAAATGTAGAAATCATAACCTTTGGACTATCATCTTATCATTTGAATAGCTATGGAAAAAATAAAGATATCAAAATAGGTTAGAAAAATGAAGGTTCTTGTTTGACCATCACATACCATTCAATGAAATGTTTTGTGTATAAAGCCTTTCCTATTTCAAAATATTAATATCAAAAATTATCTCTAAATTATTGGCTATTTGATTTTTAAAAATTCACATAGTTTTATTATGTAAATATAACCTAATAATCTGAGGTTACCTTATATTTCTTGTGTTATTTATATCAATTATGTATCTGGGGACCACTTTGAAATTGGAGGTTTGATTTTTTTACATTGTAATTTGCACTAGAAAACACTCATTCAAATTTTTAAACATTTTACTATTAAAACATTGTTTATCCTGCTTACTTGGGTCAAAACTATCGAATATAGAGAACTTACTGTAAATGAATCTAGTTAAAGAAAACACATTCTAACAATTGTTTATATTAAATAGAAGTATTTGTTTATACGATCCTTAGATGATTTATACTTTATGAGTAAGTCTTTTCATGCTGACATGTTGATAAGGAGCACTGTACTTTTGTGCACATACAGCTCTAGCTTCCTGTATTTCAATCTGAGTCATGGTAAAGTGGGAAATATGAATTTGAAGCTTAAGTATTGAGCTTAAAACAGTTAATTTTTTTCCCACTCTTACATTGAAATAGGGTAAAGGTAGTGGAGACCACAGCAGGCCACTTGTTGCTGTTAATTAAGTACACACCATGGTTGAAGTGTTTAGCCCTTTGGGAAGTTTTATTATTGAACAAGAATGCGGGAGTTATTTTGATAAGAGTAGCAACGGGGCCAAAACTATGATTATCCTTAAACTCTGAAGCAGGCCAAGGATGAAGGGCCATAAAGTGTTTGCTCTTACAAATGAACAAAGATAAATTTGCCTAGGAAAATAAACTTAGTATTTTGGTCAATTTGCAACAAAATAGTAAAAGAATTGAACTGTTTACTTTAGAACTTGGCCTAAGGACGTATGGGAAAATAGTTCAGCATCTTCATTTCTGGCCTGATTTTCACAATAGATTTGGAAACAGAGCAGAAAATTAATGCACAGACAACTTTAACAATACCAAACCAAATGCTGTAAATACAAAATGAAAATTGAAACTGCATGAGGAGGTAGAGCAAAGCTTTTACTGAGGAGTGCTTACTAAATTTGCAGCCACAGTTTTCTTAGCATTCTTACCAAGTGTATTCAGTAGTGTTAAAAATTGAAGTCTTGTTGATTTGAGATGCTATTTTCTCTGCAGTTTTTCATTCTTAGAATATGATGTTGTATCTGTTGGAGGGAAGATTTAATTTAAGCATACTTCTACTCTAAAAAACTATCCATAAAGAAAGCCTGTCTTATATTGTCTTTTATTTCATAAGCATTCTTATCTGGAATTAGTTTGTGCCTTTTATTAGATGCTGTGTGTTTTACATTAGACAGCTAACCAAAAACCTGATTTTTTTTTATAGCTCTTCAAGTTGTAGGAATTTCAATTGTAGCAGATTTAGAACTATTTATTTTGTAAAAGCATTTATATGAAATCCCCACAGACAGTGAGCTGTTTGCTTTGCTTGGTATATTTGGGACAAAGAGTAACTATACTATCTTCAGGATTAACTCTATAATTTTCTCTCATAGTAATCCCAGAACACTATTGCTTTGCTATGCTTGGTGCCTAAGTGTTCTTGCAGTAAACACTTGCCTGTGATTCTATGAAAATCTTTCCCATTTGCGCTCCTTCTGAGGTTGCAGGGAAATTGAATTTTCTTCTGACTGAAAGAGATTGTAAAACAATGATGTTAAAATAAAAGCTTCATGTAGGAGCTGAATATACCTTTGTCTAGATGGCATGTCTGTGGTAATGTGAGCCGAGGCTTTGGTTTGTTTTGTACAGGATTTTAATTATCATTCCTGCTTTTAAGTGTTTAGAGATTAGTGGCTTCTGCTCTGACAACCTGTCTATAGAGAATGGCGTACTGACCATATTATATTGTCTTTGTTTAAATTTTAAGGGGTGTTTTGTTCTGGCAGTTGACTACTGGTTATGACTCCTTAACACAGGAAATTAACATTTTTGTTTGAGATATTCAAAGTAACAATAAACTATTGGAAGTTGAAGATATACAGCAAAAGAAAGTGTGGCTGAAGTTAGCAAGATGAGGAAATGAGAAAGGCAGTAGAGGGACCAAATTCTATAAGAGTGTGACTGAACAATTTCTTAAGCATTGGTTTAACTTGATAATGATAATTATATCTACCATTTATGAAATATTTCCTATGTGTATATACTTCATTAACATTAATATTATTATTTAATCTTAACTGTAAGAGATAAATATTATTATAACAATTTTACAGAGGAGTAAACAGACTCAGAAAAGTTAAACTACTTGCCTAAAATTACATGACTGGCATCTGAATACCTTAACCCAGTATGCCATACTGCCTGCCATATTAAGCCTAACTAAGTGTGTATAACTGACATGTAAATACATATATGTATATATATACATCTTTAAACAAATGAGAATGTTATATTGTGTTTGGTCAGTTTTCAGAGTATATGAGTTAAACTCCCAAGTTTTGTTTGCCAATTTTAAATGGACAGCAAAGTTTGGAATTTTCAGACCCCAATACTTCATAGCTAATCCTAAAAGAACTCAACATATCAATGATTGCAGCATCTCTTCTGCATTTGAGACTGAAGCTATCGGCTCCAGTTGAACTTTAAATGAAAGGGTTTATTTTATTCTGGCCTACTAAAAGCTGCTGAAAAGACCAAAACAGACCAACAAACCTTTGACAGCAAGTTTATTAGCACTGAATTTAGGACCTAATACTATTCAGAGTTCAGTGTGTATTTGTTGAATCGGATAAGCATATGCTCTATTCCACTAAGAAACCTTTAACCATATGAAACATTTTTAAAAATCTTTTGTCAAATCTAATTTTTAATATCTCCTCAATTAGCATGCAAGACATGATTAATATTTTGCTGTTTCTTAAACTGTGACAATCACTTTGCTATAGTTTTTCTAGATTCAGTTATAAATAATCTGTAGAAGGGGTAGACAGATTTTTTCTGTAAAGGGCTAGTTAATTCGTACCTTTAGGCTTTGTGGATCACAGCTTCTCTCCAGCAACTACTCAACTCTGCTGAAAAGAAATCAGATATAGTCATTAAATGAATGGATGTGGCTGTGATCTAGTAACACTTTATTCCTCAATACAGATTAGCCCCTTCACTATAGCTTGCAGACTACACTATAGGAACATACTTGCTAGTATACTACTAACCTTTTTTAGATTTTACCTATTTTTAGAGAAAGCTGAAAACATGCATGTACTTTGTAACAATAAAAACCATTGAGAAGGCTAATATATAAAACCATATATTAGCCTTATGTTTTGGTATTAACATTTATATGATTATCATTTGCATATAAGATGTGGAAAAGTTATAAATAATAATTACTGATTTTAATTTATAAATTGTATTTTTTGTTATTTTTGTTTATGTTACAAAATAAGTTGTTGTTGTTGTTGTTTTCCTCCCTGCCCAGGGAGATTCTATACAAGCAGGTGAGGACTCACCATTCTCAGATTCTGTGACCTTGGAACAAACTACAAGTAATATTGGTGGAACCAGTGGACGTGTTAGTCTATGGATGCAGTGGGTGCTTCCCAAAATAACTATAAAGCTGTTTGCTCCAGATCCTGAAAACAAAGGCACAGGTACAGAATTGCTTTTCTTCTTTACTGAAAAGTACAAATATTAAATGCTATTTTGGAAGAAATATTAAACTTAATTTATTATTGTCATTTGTAATTAAGTATGATTAGATCTAATTCAAGTCATTTCTAGTTGCTGTGCTAAAATGTTGAATCTTTTTAACAATTAAGGTTTATATGTACATATTTTTCTTGACTTTGTAATACCTAAATTTTGTCCTGTTTGTATTAAAATTCATCTAAAAGACCATAAGGAATTTTCCTCCGTGGTCATATTGATACATTATAGCGTTAGTACTAAAAGTATTGGGAAAATCCTTGACTGATACCAAATATAACACTTCAAACATTAACTGAGATTTCCCCTTTCTTTAAATAAATGCCTTATCTTAACTGAAAGTCCTGTGTTGATATTAATTTTGCTTATTATTCTAGAAGTTTTTATGATCTCAGTACCTCTGTACATATCCAGCATGCATATGTCAATGTAAAATGTAAAATAAAAAGTTTTAATATTAATTGTGAAGACTGTATTGATATTACTGTTTGCTTCTTATTGCAGAGGTTTGTATGGTCAGTGAACTAGAAGATCTCAGTGCTTCCATAGATGTCCAGGATGTATATACCAAAGTGAAATGTAAAATAGAGAGTTTCAATATTGATCACTATAGAAGCAGGTAAATAATGAATAATGAATATAAGAAAAATCTGTATTTTTCTTTGAACAAAGTTACCATAAGACTTTTTTTCTGTTTTAATATGGCTAATTATTTTTAAAAATACCATACAGGCATACCTCAGACATATTGAGAGTTTGGTTCCAGACTACTCCAATAAATAATGACTATAAGAATAATGAATACTCCAATAAAGCAAATACTTCAATAAAGCAAATTGACACAAATTTTTTGGTTTCCCAGTATATATAGAGTTGTTTTTATAGTGTACTGTAGTCTGTGAAGTGTACAATAGCATTATGTATTTTAAAATATACAGACCTTAACTTAAAAATACTTGATGGCTAAAATGTGGTAATGATCATCTTAGCACTCAGTGAGTCATAATCTTGTTGCTGATGGAGGGTCTTGTTTTGATGTTGATGGCTGCTGACTGATCTGGGTAGTGATTGCTGAAGGTTGGGGTAGCTGTGGCAATTTCTTAAAATAAGTCAATAATGTAGCTCGCCACATGGATTGAACCTTTCTTTATGAAAGAGTTCTCTGTATCATGTGCTGCTCTTTAATGTCATTTTACCCACAACAGAGCTTCTTTCAAAATTGGAGTCAATCCTCTCAAACTCTGCTGCTGTTCTATAAAATGAGGTTATGGAATATTCTAAATCCTTTGTTGTCATTTCAACAGTGTTCCTAGCATCTTCTCCAGGAGTAGTTTCCAACTCCAGAAACTACTGTTTTTGCTCATTCAACACCTCATCCATTCAAGTTTTGTCATGAGATTACAGCAATTCAGCCCCGTCTTTAGGCTCCAATCCTAATTCTAGTTCTCACGTTGTTTTCACCACATCTGCCATTACTTCCTCCAGTGAGGTCTTGAAACCCTCAAAGTCACCCATAAGGGTTGCAATCAACTTCTTACAAACACTTGTTAATGTTGATATTTTTACTTCCTCCAATGAATCATGAATGTTCTTAATAGTGTCTACAGTGGTAAATCTTTTACAGAAGGTGTTTCAATTTACTTTGCCTAGAACCTTCAGAAGAATTGCTATCTGATGGAGTTTGGATATATGTCCCTTCCAGATCTCATGTGGAAATGTGATCCCTAGTGTTGGAGGTTTGTCCTAGTGGGAGATATTTGGGTTATAGGGGAGGATCTCTCATGAATGGCTTGGTGCCTCCCCATGGTAACAAGTGAAGCTCTAGATTTCTTAGTTCATGCAAGAGCTAGTTGTTTAAAAAGAAAATGGCACCTCCCCACTCTCTCTTGCTCATTCTCTTACCCTGTGACACGCTTGTTCCCCTTTGCCTTCTTCCATGAGTAAAAGCTTCCTAAGGCCTCACTAGAAGCCAAGCAGATGATAGTGCCATGCTTGTACAGCCTGCAGAACCGTGAACCAAATAAACCTCTTTCCTTTATAAATTACCCAGTCTCAGGTATTCCTTTATAGCAATGCAAAATGGACTAACACACTGTATCTATGGCAGCTATAGCATTACAGAATGTATTTCTTAAATAATAAGACTCAAAGGTCAGAATTACTGCTTGATCCATGAGCTGAAGAATAGATGTTAGCAGGCATGAAGACAATATTCATTTCCTTGTATATATCTCCATTATAACTCTTAGGTGACCAGGTGTGTTGTCAATGAGCAGTAGTATTTTCAAAGGATTTTTTTTTTTTCCCTGAACAAGCAGTGGTTCTCAACAAAGGGCTTAAAATATTCAGAAGACCATGCTGTTAACAGATGTGCTATCATCTCAGCTTAGTTGTTCCCATGTATAGAGCCCAGGGGGAGAGTAGATTTAGCGTAATTGTTAGGGGCTCTAGGATTTTCAGAATGGTAAATGAGCATTATCTTCAACTTCACCAGCTGCATTCACCTCTAACAAGAGAGTTAGCCTGTCCTATGAAGCTTTAAAGCCAGGCATTGACTTCTCCTCTCTAGTTATCAAAGTCTTAGATGGCATCTTCTTCCAGGGGAAGGCTAATTTGTCTACATTGAAAATCTGTTATTTGGTGTTGCCACTTTCATCAGTGAACTGAGCTAGATCTTTTGTATAACTTGCTGCCACTTATCCAACAGTACTTGCCGCTTCATGTCGAACATTAATGTTATAGAGATGGTTTCCTTCCTTAAGTCTCATGAAGTAACTTCTGCTAGCTTCAAACTTAACTTCTGCAGCTTTCTCACATTTCTCTACTTACAGAATTGAAGACAGTTAGGGTCTTGCTTTGGATTTAAGAGAATGGTGTGGCTGGTTTGACCCTCTACCCAGACTACTCAAATTTCTGCATATCAGCAATAAGGCTGTTTCACTTTCTTATCATTTGCAAGTTCCCTGGAGGAGCACTTTTAATTTTCTTCAAGAACTTTCCTTTGCATTCACAAGTTGACACAAGAGGCTTTGTTTCCAGCCTGTCTCAGCTTTTGACTTGCCTTCCTCAACAAGCTTAATCATTTTTAGCTTTTTATACAAGTGAGAGATTTGCATTTCTTTGTTCACGGAAACACTTAGGGGCCATTGTTAGGGTTATTAATTGTCTTCATTTCAATATTGTTGTGTTTCAGGGAATAGGAAGAACTGAGGTGAGGGAGAAAGATGGAAAATGATGAGTCAGTGGAGCAATCAGAAAACACACAACATTGATCAATTAAGTTTGCATCTTATTTGGGCACTGCTCATGATGTCCTGAGATAATTATGATGGTAACATCAAAAATCATTGATCACAAATCACCGTAACAGATATAATAATAATGAAAAAGTTTGAAATATTACAAGAATTACCAGTGTGTGACACAGAGACTGGAAGTCAGCATATATTGTTGGAAAAAAAGGTGCTGATGGACTTACTCAGTGAAGGCTGCCATAGACCTTCAATTTGGGTAAAAACATAATATCTGCACTATACAATAAAGCAAAGCCCATAAAACTGAGGTATGCCTGTATTTATTCTCAAAGAGGATTCTTAGCAGATACATTGGTTAATTTTATTTAGTATTTGTTCATGTAGGAAGTATAATAAAATTTTGTAAGATGACAAATCTGTTCATAAATATACACATTGCCATATTAAATGAAATAAGATACTTTTACTAATCTTACAAAGTTTATTTTCTATAGTTTATATTTGCTAAGATGCCTGCAACACAGTTGATGGCTCTGATTTTTGCTGTATACTTCCCGTCCATTCTCTATACCAATATAATCATGCATTGAGATGGAGCAATAGCTTATTTCCTAAGCACTTTGATGACTCTCATCTCACAGATTATTATATATGTGGTGGATGTTCCTAGAACCATCATTTCTGCCATAAGAAATTTTTATCAAAAGTATGATTACATGCAAATATGCTTGGCTTGTAATAATAACATTAGTTAAAAAGCTAATTTTCAGATATTTTCACAAAGCTCTGTGGCAGTTTTATCATTAATTTTTTTGAAACAGAAATAAAAATGCTTTTTTTTTTTACTTTATATTAGTACAGCGATGTTTCTTTTTGTAATTGAACTAAACTTCACATGCCGTAAAACTCACAAATGCTTTTTAAAAATATTTTTAAAATAGCATCATATTTTCAATTTCATAGTTTTTGGCTTAGAAACAGGCTTAAAATCAATTTTTTACTGAATTCATTTATTTAACAATTTTTTATTGTGTGCTACCAGAAACACCTGTATGTTTCTATGCATATATTTATGCATTGCATGCTCTAAAAAGTCATTTTTTAATTTACCAGGTTCCTAATTCTACATTAGAAGTGTTTGAATTTTTATCCATTATTGCATATATCATATTGTTTATATCAATAATTATCAAATCTGTCACAATTATGGGCTAAAAATATTTGGCTGAATATATGCTAGAACTTGTTCTAATAGTACCTTATCAATCATATTAAACAGTGAATTATTAATTGGCTTTTGATAATAGAATGTTTAACTCTTTAGTTCCTTTGATATTGTATGTATCTGTATCAAAATGATCTTTGCAAATGATATATCAATACAATATTTTGGCTGAAATAATTTTTAATGTTGTGAATATTATGTATTATGTTGTCCTTTATCCCTGTCTTTACTGCTAAATTTATGTAAATTTTAAATATTCAGATAATTTATGAATTTATTAAAAACATGTTTGTTGAGTGTGTGATATGCACCAAGTGCTATGCTAAATGAGCACTGGGGTGTAGTGTTTAAGAAAAATAGCCTGGCATGATGGCTAACACCTATAATCCCAGCACTTTGGGAGACCAAGGCAGGGGGATCACTTGAGCCCAGGCGTTTGAGACCAGCTGGGACAAGATGGTGAGACCCCATCACCACATATAAACAAAAAATTAGCTGGGCATGGTGGTGTATATCTGTAGTCCCAGCTGCTGGGGATGCTGAGGTGGGTGGATTGCTTGAGCCCAAGAGTTCAAGGTTACAATGAGCTGTGATTGTGCCATTGCACTCCAGCCTGGGCAACAGAGCAAGTCCCCATCTTTTAAAAAGAAAAATAGAGATGTTACCCTTGTGGAGAAGACGGAAGTAGATAATCAGCCAAATAAATATCTAATTTACCATGAAGGCAAGTGTTCCTGTACAGAACTATCAGAGTGTGATGCTAATGTAAATTGTTCTATTGATTGCATAGTCAGATTTATGTTTTAGTTCAGTGCAGTGTTGTGAACTTTAGACCTATTTGAAATAGTTATGTATGTTCAATTTTTTAACTCAGAAAAATTGAAGAGAACAGATAAGGTGAACTTATGTTTTCCAGGCCAGGGGAAGGTTGGCAGTCAGGACATTTTGAAGGAGTATTTCTACAATGCAAAGAAAAACCTGTGGTGAGACCCATTTAGTTATTATGATTTTTGAAAATCTACTTTAAACTGTTTATCTTTGTTATTTCATAAAATAGGACCAATGGTTACAAGAATTTGAGTTCAGAATAAATTCTTATTAACCTGTTTCTTCAAACATACAAATTTAAAGCTATTTATTTTTTGAAACTGCTCATGTTTTGTAACCATCATCCTGTTGTAACAATTAAGTGAATTTATCAAAAAGGCAAAGGTAGGCTTACTTTTGTTAACATACTTTATCTTTGATGTACTGTTGTGTTGACTTTTTGGAATTGTTTCCCAGTTCTTATGTGAGTTCATGCTGGATCGTTCTTTACCATAAGCTAGAAGTAATAATTTTACACTAAAAGCAATTCCTTTTGTTTACTTTCATTAACATTGCTTTTGCAGAAGATGGTCCAGGCAGAGGCCATACCTAGCAGTTGCTCAAACCTAAATTTATGCAAACTTGAGCAGAATTTAAAACTATCCAGATTTTTTTTGCTTATGGCTTTTATTGCTTTTTGTCTTTTCACCTTCTTTGCTCCTGTCCATCACCTCAAGCCTTGGGGAAGAGTGTTGGTCTTTGGGGCAATGTGGAGGTGTCTTCCTTTCCTGTACTGACAAGCTGAACAGACGCACCTTGTTGGTTCGACCCATCAGCAAGCAGGACCCTTTCAGTAATTGCTCTGGCTTCTTTCCTTCTGTAAGAAATTACTTTTAAATTATGCTACACAACTCCCATTAAAAGGAACCCAGAGAAGGAATTGAACGATTCATAGAGTCAACTCTTGATTTACGTTTTCCTCCATATAACAAACTTTATAAATGAATTATAATGTAATTTAAAATCATAGAACTGCTTCTCCACTATAACTTGTTTCTGGGTCATTTGCATGAGTACAGACTAATTTTACCATCAATATAAGGAAATCAAAGTAGAACATGCAACATTTTTCTTAAAATGGTGCATGTATTGAATGATCAAGAGTTGACCAATACTGCTTTTGTCATTCCTTTTATGATTCTTACTAAGATTGCTTTTTAAATTTTTTTTTCTATTATTATACCATTGTCTTCTTAAGAACTATTTTAAAGTAACTTGTTTGGTGCCCTTTTGAATCTGAACGAGATTGCATTCTGTCACTGATTAGATAGATCAACATAAGACTATACCAGTGACTTTTAGAAGTTTAGAACCTTGCTTTTTCTAATGATACAACATATCTGGATATGTTCTTAAGCTAATTCTTTTAACTGATATTCTTTAGCTTTGTTCTTAAATTTAATTTTTAATAGTGTATTTGCATAGCAAGTGATATTTTCTGATTTTATTTTAAGCTTTTTCTAGCAGTAGTCTCTAATCTTTAGTACTGGAAAAAAAAAATGTGGCTTTTGTGTTAGAAGAAGTGTTTAGATTTTTTTCCTCTCTTTGAATGTTTATTAGTGAGTGTGAAACACATTCTTAATAATTTCAACAAATATTCATAAAGAAACTGTATTATTATTAATGTTCTTCAGACATTTTTTCTAAACTTTTAAATTAAATGTCATTTAAAAAGTTTCCTTACTAGTTTTTTAACATTTTAGTTTAAATAATATAAAGCATTATTACTATGGGAAAAGCGATATTTATATTACCTCAACTAGTATTCATTTTTTTCCTTTATGTTTTTTTTCTTTTCCTTTATGTTAAGGGAGTTTAGGGATGCAGCAGTTAAAAAAAAACACCCCTTCTTCATGTAGCTTACTTTGCAAGTTTGCTTACATTCCATATGTTTAAAATATTTTTCCAAATTAAAAGATTTATACATTAAAATACCTTTTATACTGCTTCCAGGATTCAAATGTTACTATTAATAAAGATTTATTATGAATTAGATTTTTTAGATTAGTGGTCAATACTAACCCTTCCCCAGTTTAGACACTTAGAATAGACAGCATCACTGTGGCTTCTTCCACTAGGGGTATACCTTAACAGTCCTTCTCCATCCATTATTGCTCATTGTCCAGCAATATGGTAATAAGAATGGTAGAAGTTTTGCTACTTTACTATACATCTTTTTGTTTTGAATGCAGAAATAAAAAAGAAGGGGAATCGGAAGAAAAGCAGTGAAAAACCAGGCACAGTGTCTCAGGCCTGTAATCACAGCACTTTGGGAGGCCTGAGGCGGGCGAATCACCTGAGGTCAGGAGTTTAAGACCAGCCTGGCCAACAGGGTGAAACCCTGTCTCTACTAAAAATACAAAAATTAGCTGGGTGTGGTGGCACGCACCTGTAGTTCCAGCTACTCAGGAGTCTGAGGCAGGAGAATTGCTTGAACCCGAGAGGCAGAGGTTGCAGTGAGCCAAGATTGCGCCATTGCACTTCAGCTGGGGCAATAGGAGCAAAACTCTGTCTCAAAAAAAAAAAAAAAAGAAAAGCAGCATAAATGTTGGGAACAGTGAAAATTGCTTTGAAAGCAGGCCATCATGGGGAAAGATATTGCACAACCATTTAATTCTTACTTTCCAGAGTATTTTTAATGGTCAATTAACTTAAAATATATACAAAGATAATTTATTTTCTTATCTTCCTTCATTATAGTCTAAATTAAAAGCAAAATTAGCAGTGATAGCTGAATTGCATAGTTTTTTCTTCTCGCCACATCATTATGAGAGGGAGGAAATGGAAGCAAAAGAAGTTAGGAGTTATGGAATAATACAGGATCAGATTCATTACTGCTTTCCTATTTCTCTGTTGTTTTTTTTTTCTGTTTACATGAATATATTTTCTTCTTTTTACTTTGTTCCAGTTCACTTCTCCTCTTAAAAATCCCCTCTTTGGACCTTACTAATTAAAAATTTTTTTTCAGGTGTTGGAAAGAGGGGCAGGGAATGTTGAATATAACATTTCTCCTCTAATTCTGTTCTAAGTGATTTGCAAAACAGTATTTTATGTATATTAATTGGCTGAAGAAGATTTTTTTTCAAGAGATATTCTTTTTGTATGTAGAAGAATATGAGAGTATTCATTTTAATTTTTTACCATTAAAAATGTGCTGTTTTGCTATAATTTGTTTATGGTATGCAGTTTGTATAGGACAGCTAATTGAGATAGTTTTAGCAAAAATATTGAAGTTATAGTTTTCTTATTCTCAGTTAAATGTTATATGTGTAATAATATAGTAGTACACCCAGAGATTATAAGTTACAGGATAGTGATAATTAGATTTTATAAACAATATGTTAGCTATTGATAGTTGAGTTCTGAAGGACAAATGTTATATTGTTATGTTACATTACTGTTTAAATATTCAGTAACTATTTAGTTCAATTATCAAAGCATGGTATCAGTGAGGCTTCTTTTATGGGCTCTGTCTTTATATAAATCAGCCAAATTATTGAAGGAAAAACTCCATTCTTATAAATGTCATATCCTGTCTAGTGAAGGTAATCATCTGGCCTATTCAGATTTGATCTCAAATAAAAATATATAATGTGGTTATTTCAATTTCACCTGAATAAACAACCTGCCTGTGACCTGTGACCCATTCTATGACAGCCTCTTGGTATTCATAATGAAAAACTATCAGGAAATGAAAAGACAAAATCAAGGTAGTCTTTTCCACCTTATGATTTTCTGTTTGAGGCAGTGTCTCACTCTGTCGCCCAGGCTGGAGTGCAGTGGTGCAGTCTCGGCTCACTGTAGCCTCTGCTACCCAGGTTCAAGTGATTCTTATGCCTCAGCCTCCAGAACAACTGGGATTACAGGCATGTACTACCACACCACCATGCCTGGCTAATTGTTTGTATTTTTAGTACAGATAGGATTTCACCATGTTGGCCAGTCTAGTCTCGAGCTCCTGGCCTCAGGTTATCTGCCCGCCTCAGCCTCCTAGAGTGATGAGATTACAGGTGTGAGCTGCCACATCCTGGCCCCAAATTATTAATGTTACAGAAAAGGCAGAGGTCACAGAAATAGTCACAAAAAGATTAATTACCTCCTTCAAGATCTAGAACTGGAACTCAGGATTCCCATCTTTAGTTCAGTCATTCCGACCATCTTAGAAGCTTTTTGCCTTTATCTGCAAAATTGATTAGTCTTGTGTCTATTATGAGGTGTAGGGTGAGACCAAGAGGTAAAAATACTCACTGAGGTCATTTTCTTCTTTCCAATTTTTAAAAAAAATGTTTTTAATGAACTGTGTATTGTGATTTCCTTTTTCTGGAACAGACAACTACAAAACTTCTAGATGGCACTCATCAGCAGCATGGATTCCTCTCTCTGACATACACAAAAGCTGTAACAAAAAATGTCCGCCACAAGTTAACATCAAGAAATGAGCGAAGAAGTTTTCATAAGTTATCTGAAGGCTTAATGGATGGTTCCCCTCATTTTCTTCATGAAATTCTTCTTTCAGCACAAGCTTTTGATATTGTTCTTTATTTTCCTTTGCTTAATGCCATTGCAAGTATATTTCAAGCAAAACTACCAAAGACCCAAAAAGAGAAAAGAAAATCTCCTGGTCAGCCCATGAGGACCCACACACTGACGTCCCGCAATTTACCTTTGATTTATATCAACACAAGTGTAATCAGAATTTTTATTCCAAAAACAGAAGAAATGCAGCCAACTGTTGAAGGTATTGTCTTCTGATTTTTTTTGTCTGTTTTTAAATAATTTTCTTCTAGAGACCTTAGTTTCTTGGGGTTTTTTTGTTTCTTTTAAAAAATATGAGCAGTTGGTTGTACTTTGCAGTTTGGTATGTTTTAGAGGCAATATAGATATGTAGCCTTGTAGCATAGTTTGAAGTCAGGTAGCATGATACCACCAGCTTTGTTCTTTTTGCTTTGAATTGTCTTAGCTATGTGGGCTCAATTTTGGTTCCATATGAAGTTTAAGGTGGTTTTTCCCAGTTCTGTGAAGAGGGTCATAGGTAGCTTGATGGGGATAGCGTTGAATCTATAAATTACTTTGAGCAGTATGGCCGTTTTCACAATATTGATTCTTCCTAACCATGAACATGGAATGTTTCTCCATCTGTTTGTGTCCTCTCTTATTTCGTTGAGCAGTGGTTTGTAGTTCTCCTTGAAGAGATCCTTTAAGTCTTATTGGTGTATAGGAATGCTTGTGATTTCTGCACATTGATCTTGTATCCTGAGACTTTGCTGAAGTTGCTTATCAGTTTCAGGAGATTTTGGGCTGAGCTGATGGGGTCTTCCAAATATACAATCATGTCGTCGGCAAATAGAGACAATTTGACTTCCTCCTTTCCTAATTGAATACCCTTGATTTCTTTTTCTTGCCTGATTGTTCTGGCTAGAACTTCCAGTACTGTATTGAATAGGAGTGGTGAGAGAGGGCATCCTTATCTAGTGCCAGATTTCAAAGGGAATGCTTCAAGTTTTTCCTCATTCAGTATGATATTGGCTGTGGGTTTGTCATAAATAGCTTTTATTATTTTGAGATATGTTCCGTCAATACCTAGTTTATTGGGAGTTTTTAGCATAAAGTGCTGTTGAATTTTGTCAAAGGCCTTTTCTGCCTCTGTTGAGATAATCATGTGGTTTTTGTCTTTGGTTCTGTTTATGTGGTGGATTATGTTTATAGACTTGCGTATGTTGAACCATCCTTGCATCCGCGGAATGCAGCCTACTTGATCATGGTGGATAAGCTTTTTGATGTGCTGTTGCAGTCGCTTTGCCAGTATTTTATTGAAGATTTTTGCGTCTATGTTCATCATGCATATTGGCCTGAAGTTTCTTTTTTTGTTGAGTCTCTGCAGGGTTTTGGTATCAGTATGATGTTGTTCTCCTAAAATGATTTGGGAAAGATTCCCTCTTTTGGATGGTTTGGAATAGTTTCAGGAGGAGTAGCACCAGCTCCTCTTTGTATTTCTGGTAGAATTTGGCTGTGAACCCATCTGGACCTGGGCTTTTTTTTGGTTGGTAGGCTATTAATTGCTGCATCAACTTCAGCCCTTATTAGTCTATTCAGGGTTTCAACTTCTTCCTGGTTTAGGCTTGGGAGGTTGCAAGTGTCCAGAAATTTGTCCATTTCTTCCAGGTTTACTAGTTTATGTGCATATAGTTGTTTGTAGTAATCTCTGACGGTAGTTTGTATTTCTGTGGAATTGGTGGTGATATCCCCTTTATCATTTTTTATTGCATCTATTTGATTCTTCTCCCTTTTCTTTTTTATTAATCTGGCTAGCAGATCTTTTTGAAAAACGAGCTCCTGGATTTATTGATTTTTTGAAGGTTTTTTTGTGTCTGTCTCTTTCAGTTCTGCTCTGATCTTAGTTATTTCATCTCTTCTGCTGGCTTTTGAGTTTTGTTGATCTTGCTCCTCTAGCTCTTTCCATTTTGATGATAGGGTGTCGATGTTAGATCCTTCCTTGCTTCTCATGTGGGCATTTATTGCTATAAATTTCCCTCTAGACACTGCTTTAAATGTGTCCCAGATATTCTGACATGTTGTGTCTTCATTTTCGTTGGTTTTGAAGAACATCTTTGTTTCTGCCTTCCTTTCATTGTTTATCCAGGTAACATTCAGGAGCCAGTTGTTCAGTTTCCATGAAGTTGTACAGTTCTGAGGTAGTTTCTGATTTCCGAGTTCTAATTTGATTGCACTGTGGTCTGAGAGACTGTTATGATTTCCATTCTTTTGCATTTGATGAGGAGTGATTTACTTCCAATTATGTCGTCAATTTTAGAGTAGGTGTGATGTGCTGAGAAGAATGTGTCTTCTGTGGATTTAGGGTGGAGAGTTCTGTAGATGTCTATTAGGTTTGCTTGTTCGATATCTGAGTTCACGTCCTGGATATCCTTGTTAATTTTCTGTCTCGTTGATCTGTCTGATATTGACAGTGGAGTGTTAAAGTCTCCCACTATTAATGTGTGGGAGTCTATGTCTCTTTGTAGGTAGTTAAGAACTTGCTTTATGTATCTGGGTGTTCCTGTATTGGGTGCATATATATTTAGGATCGTTAGCTCTTCTTGCTTCATTGATCCTTTTACCATTATGTAATGCCCTTCTTTGTCTCTTTTGATCTTCATTGGTTTAAAGTCCATTTTATCAGAGACTGGTATTACAACTCCTACTTTAATCATTTTAAGTGTATAATTCAGTGGCATTAATTATATTCACAATGTTGTACCACTATTTCCAAATGTATTTGTCACCCCAAACAAAAGCTCTATATCCATTAAGTAATAGCTACCCTCATTCTCCAGTAACCTCTAATCTATTTTCTGTCTCTATGAATTTTCCTTCTCTAGAAATTTCATATAAGTGGAATCATACATGTTTATCCTTTTGTGTCTGGCTTATTTTACTTAGCATAATGTTTGCAAGGTTCATCCAAGTTACTGCCTGTGAACTTCATTTCTTTATATAACTGAATAATACTGTTTTGTATGGATATATCATATTTTGTTTATTCATTAATCTGTTGTGAAGTTGGGTCATTTCTACCTTTTGTTTGAATAATGTGAGTAATGCTGCTATGAACACTGGCGTGCAACCTTCTGTTGGAGGCCCTGTTTTCCGTTCTTTTGGGGTGTATACCTAAGAGTGGAACTTGTGGGTCCCACAGTAATTCTATTTGGAATTCTATTTTTGAGGAACCACCAGACTTCTTGGAAGCCCTTGTAGAGTAAAGCACAATTTATGGTATTCTGTGAACAATGCCAATGTACAGGCATGGTTTAGTCAAGGAGAAGAGCAAAGGGAGCTCACACTAGCATAGCAGCACCTGTGTGCTGAGCACCTGAGCAGCTCTGTGGTGAGGCAGAGGTCTGAAGTTCACTGTTTAACTCTAGCTTTATTTTCTATTATACTTAACCAAAGCTTTAGTTCTGTTTCACTGATATATTTATGACAGAAATATTACAAATCGGGCTATTTAAGAAAAGGGAGGAAAAAAAGAACAGCTTTATTTTCTCCAGGGCTATTTTTATTTGTTTATATGTTTTTGTTTTGGGCTTATTGTGTTATAAACTTTAGTACTACATATCACACAGTTTTATTGTTTCCCATTGAGTTGCTTCAACTAGGAAAATCCCCAATTATATTTCTGTAGTTGCAGAAATATTTCCAGACTTCTGCCATTTTATTTTTAAAGCTGCTTCTCCTGTTTCTGCTGCTTCTTCATCTGCTTCTTCATATGCTTCTGCTGCAGCCGCCGCCTCCTCTTCCTCCTCCTCCTCCTCCTCTTTCTTTTCCTTCTGCTGCTGCTGTTTCCTTTTTTGGTGGTGACTATGGCGGGTTTTTAACATATAATTTCAGAATTCAGGTGCCTAGGTACTTCTTAAGGTCACTTTGAATAAGAGTATATGAGATGGGGGAATGTTGGTATAGTTGTCTTTGGAATATATAATTTGTTTTATTTTTCTGTGGACTTTTAAGTGTAATCTTTTGCTGATATGCCTACTTTTAGCAACAAACAACTTTTTAGCAGTATTTTTCTGTGGCCTGGGTGTGTGTATCTGTAGAACAAATTACCAGCAAAAGGATTGCCAGATCAAAGGATTCCATACCTTTAAAATATTAAGAGATGTCAAATTGCCTTCCTAAATGGCTATTTCTTACTCTAACAGAAGTTTATGTTTAGTCTTTTGTAGGTCTCATAAGTGAAAAGTACACTATTTTTAAGGAGTTGCTTATCTTTTCCTTATTACTTAATACTTTTTTGTGTATTAATCCTTTTGTCTGGCATATATATTGGTCATGTCTTTACTTTTTTGTGTTGTGCCTTTGCATCTCTGTGTCTGTGCATATATCTGTATCTTAACTTACAACTCTACCGGCATTTCTATCTATTTGAGGTGCTACAAGTAGCCAGACTATGTGCCTAAGCTAAGAATACAAATACAAAAATGCATGTCAAATTTTCAGATTTTGACACATTGTTAGATTTTTTTTGATATTTTACCTTTCATCATTGCTACTCTTAATTTAAATGATCATAAATTACCTGTGAAAAGGTCAGAGAAAAATTTTTTATTGAGGTAAAATTCATATAATCAAATTCACCATTTTAAAGTATAGATAAATTCTTACATTTTATTTTATATCAGAGATTGGATCTATTCATTTAATACATGTTAAAAGCTATAATGTGACTATGGAAATCGTGATTAAAGGAGCAATTTCATAAGAAATAAATATCTTTAATGACTCTTGTAAGTTGGAGTCATGAGTACAGTATTCATTTTATTCTGGAAAACCTTTATAAGGAAGTTTGAAGAGGGTGATTATCAGATTAATTAAATTATAAATGTAGGCCAGGGATGGTGGCTCATGCCTATAATCCCCGCACTTTGGGAGGCCAAAGTGGGCAGATGGCTTGAGCCCAGGGGTTTGAGTTGGGTATATGTAACTTGTTTTGATGAGCATGGAAGAATAACTAAATCTTGCTACATCATGCTTTTCAGCAGAAACTTTATTATAAAAATATTACAGAGAAATCTGTACCTGTCACAGTACACAGTAATCTGTGTACTGTGTCACAGTAATCTGTACATAGAAATCTGTACACAGTAATCTGTGTCAAAGATTGTGGTAAACTAAATGCAACTAAACTTTCTATGCATAATGGTCATTTGTTACACATTTATTGAAACTTTTGTCTTCAACAGCCAGTATGGGTATAACTAATTAAAACCTTTTTTTGAAAGCTGTCACAACAGTTTTGACTTTATAAAAGCATAACATTACACAGTGGGAATTTCAAATACTGTTGAGACTTATGGTTTACTAAATTGAGTTTTTACTGAGAATCTTAAAGGAAAGCTGAAATCTCCAGAACGCTTTTATTTCAGGTTGGAATTAAAACTTTGTTGTAAGCAACAGTCTTATCTGACAATTGTGTGAAAACTCTGGTCTTTATTCAAGCTTTTGGTTACTAATACAGACTCTTGATTTCAGAGTTGTTTATAGCCTTTTCTTATGCCATACACATATGTACATTCATATATCTGTACACACACATATACACACTCTCTTGCCCCAAGAAAAGATAAAATCTTTCATACTTACAATTCATGCTACATTAATGTAAGACTCTTTAATCATATCTAAAATTCAGTTAATGATCAGAAAAAATACATTAAACATTCTAATATTTTATTTAGAAAAATTATATTGAAAGTCTGGTTTTCAACCTGAATATTGTTTGCGTTATGGGCAGTTACTATCAGGATTCTAAATCTGCAGTGTTTGACTTCCAGCATAATCTTTTTATTTCACAATAGAGAACTTTTTAAAATCTAGCCTGTCTAGAATGAGTAGTTCCTCATGAGGCTGAATTTTAAAAACAGAGTTAAAGCAAAGAAGGAAGGCATTCATTTTCATGTTGAAAATATTTCTAAAAGGAACATTTCCTCATATGGTCCAACTATTAAATGCAGGTGAAATAAGCCAAAAAAAGAGAAGCTGATTTTTTTTTTTTTTTGGCAATAAAGTAACTGAAGAAATGACTCAAGGCACTTTCATGTGTACATACATATTTTTATTATTTTTTTCTTACATCTCTGATATATTTTGATAAGCTGAATACTTTAATAAAATTATTTTAATGTAGTTTATAAATGATCTGCATTAAGTGCTCTTTTTTTTTTTTATTAAAACTTCATAGTATAATCTACTGAGAATAATTTTGGCTCCAACAGAAACAATTCTGTTCTTGGATCTAGCTTTGTATGTAACACCAAGTACGTCATTTCTCCTCCATATGTACCTCATTTACTGCAATGTTTCTATTACATTTCAGACTTTCATATGGTGGGTAGTATCTGTAGCCTGGAAGAACAGTTAGCAAATACACTAATTGCACTTTTGTGGTATGGTCTATTCTCCAGGCTTACTATTATTGATTTAATTGATGCCTGCTGCTTAATCAGAGGTTTTACCCACATGGAACTATTTGATAAGCTTGGCATAAAATGCAAGATCTGTAAAATGTAAACAATGTTCATAGTATAAGGACCTGTAATCAAGCCAAACCTCTAAGTCATTTGAAAATAGTGCAGCTGCATGAAAAGTAGTTTTCTATTTGATCTTTTGCTATGGACCTGTAAAAGTACTTGTCTTTACTGTGGCATCCATATGCTAATATTTGTTATGATAGTTCACCTCCTTTTTCTCCTTTTGCTCTCCCTTATCCCACTTTCCTACCATTTTGCCTTCCCCTACTCCCTTCATGGTTATCTTATTCTGGTTCCTTATTTCTCTCACTGAATATCTTATGCTTCTTACTATTTTCTGATTTTCTTAATTGTCACTTTCTTTTCTTGGACTAATCTGAGTCAGACCATACTAAGTATACTGAAACAATATTCTGAAAATATATTGAAATATACTGAAAATAATATAGTGAAATAATATACTAGAAATACAGCTGGAAATAATCTTGTAGCTTTTGCATTCTTTGGGCACCACACTTTGGGAAATATGGATTGTATGTCTTTGTAGACAGGTTCTGTTCAGGATATTTCTTAGGTCTTGCAGCCAGTCATTTTCTGTTCTATTTTTGGCAGATGATAGTTCCTTGAGAGAAATTATAAGTTTTAATGTATGTTTACTTCAAGACCTAGAAAGTTGTATATTGTTAACATTTTTTAGACAGTGTTTATACAGCTACTATTGTAGAATCATCTGTTGGAGAAGAGAGAGTAAAATGTAATGAATGTGGCCATTAATACCCCTGTTCATCCCAAACAGTCCTTAGAAAAGATGCTGAATTTGCTGGTGAGTTGTGGAAAAAATGCTGAACTTTAGCACTAAATGAGAGCATATAGTTAAATATCATTTCATTCAGTACAAAGAAAAGAATTAAAACTGATAAATCCTTTTACCTTTTTTTGTTTTCTGGGATGATTTGTCATAGTTTTAGATGTCATTAGGAGTAGAACTTTTAAAGGGATGTGGGTTCCAATTTCTGAAGCAATTTTACAGTAGAAGTTATTAAAATTAAAAAGTAGGATAACAGGTTGATATGTTCTCCCATGTGAAATAGTTGGTGTTTGCCATCTTCAGCATTGCAGCCATCATATTTCTTTTGGATTTTCTGACATTTTAGAGCTTGAAGTGATACACTTTGTGTGTGTGTGTGTGTGTGTATTGTATTTAATTATTATTTAGCATGTAAATTTAAATGGCTTTGAGAATTTTTCACTGACTTTGTAATACCCTTCAATATATTTGTAGACGACAATGAAGTATTAAGAACCCGAAGTTGAAAATCATTTAGGAGAAAGATGCAGTTTGTGAAGTTAGATAAACATTTAGCTTTAATATTACTTATATATATTTAATATCATAATTTTTAATGTTGGGAGTGGAGTTGTTTGTTTTTTCATTGCTATTTTAATTACGTATTTTAACAGAAAACCACTTAATGGGTATGAACCAAATTAAGAACAGCATCAAAGATTTTTATTTTAAACATAATTTTTTTCATTTTACTTTTTCTCATGTATTGATCTTATTTTAATGTATCTGTATTCCATTCCCTCAAATATTTCTCCTTATGCATAAAGTTATGTACAGATTCACAGTGTATTCATGAATCTCCTTCTTTTGATACAGTTAATCAGGCAGCAAAAGAAGATACCGTGGTTTTGAAGATTGGCTCTGTTGCCATGGCTCCCCAGGCTGACAATCCCCTTGGCAGATCTGTCCTTAGGAAAGATATTTACCAGTAAGTTATATTTTCTTATGTCCAATCTTGCAACAATTTTCATCCTGCAAAGATGTACAGTGATCAATAACTTACTTAGTATGGCCTATGGAAATATTTCTCATTCAAGATCTTTTGATATTTAAAACCAGATTTTTCTGATTTTCTTCAGTTGTGGGTTTTTTAATTCATTCAGACAAATCAAGTATTTCTGTGAAGTGTTGATGAATAACAGAATGTAAGTACTAAGTCACCATAAAACTGAAGAAGCATAGTTTGGAAAATTTTAGCAGATGTCAAATTTGACCAAATCTCTAATCACATAAGAAAATGAGGCCCTCTGTAGAACCACCACATCCTACTGTAGTCATGTTGTATCAAAGTGAAACATTTTATTAATTTAAGTGTAAGCCATTATTTGAAATGTAGGAATGTGGATGTCATATGGATCAAAGCTATAAAGAAAAGCAAACTTCTAAAGAGAAATTTCACAGTAAACACTTTCTATGAAAATGCTATGCTCTGGATTTTGTCACTGAGTATTTGCAAACCACACCAAGCATATATGGACAACTAAACTGGTGAACATATGTAATCAACATGATAAAAATAATGTATGATTCATACTGAAGTTGGCACTGCTGTCGGACAGAAAAGTACAGTTGCAAATAATACCAAGTGAGAAAAGTCACAGAAATACAGATGAACAAGTGTCTTATTTTTCTTGCTGCTCTGTTTTTCAGATGTTGTAGTCTTACTCTTTTAAAAAATAAATTCCAACTGCTCTCCAGTAAATGTTACTGCTAGGAAAAGATTCTACTTTTGGTGATACATTTACCGTCTAGAGGGTGATAGATCTGTTTAAAGTAAAAATAGCTAGGGACCTTATTTCTCAGATTTATTTGGTATTTGAGTTACATTCTTTTCCTTTGTCTTATGTATGTATGATCTCTTTCTTGTATTATTTTTTTAGGAATCTAATAGAATTCAGCCCTTAAGTAAGTTTTTGTGTTGCTAGCTTATGAATAACCTTAGGATTTCAGAGCTGAAAGAGGCTTTAGGAATTGTCTAACTCAACTTCCTTATTTTACAGATTAGGAAACTGAATAGCCAGAAGAATACTATAGTTGTCCTTGGTGAAACTAATAGAGCCAAGATTACAATTCATATCTTCTGACTCCCGTAGGATCTAGGGACATGATTATAATACAAAATAAATTCTAGATGAGAATATTTTAATTTTCTATCATTTGAATATTCTTCCAGGTGTCTTTATCTTTCCTACTTCAGAAGTAAGTGATCCTAAAATAGAGACCTACTTTACTTTTGGTGGAAGAAACATTTTATATTAAGAGATCTTATCACCATCTGTAAAGTGAACCACTGAGATAATTCCTTTCCTCTGTACCGTTTCCATATTCTGACTTTTGCTTGAGTTGTATTTTCACTTGCTGGGAACAGTTGTGTGAAATTCTTTTTTTTAGGGTTTCCTTCTGTTTCTCTTGCAACTTCTTTTCAGTTGTTTTTACTGGTCTTCCTCTTAATCTCTTTGATATTAGTATTTCTTAGGGTCTTCCTTTTATTCCTTTTTGCCCAACTCTTCTTGGGTGAGCTATCTGGTCTTTTCGCTCAGGACAACTTGAATTCCAAGCATGTAGAGTAACATTGGGGTGGCCCTGTAGATGAAGGTTAGCAATATGTGTTAGAGTATCAAACATAAAATTCTAGATGCTGGGCTGGGCATGGTGGCTCATGCCTGTAATCCCAGCGCTTTGGGAGGCCAAGGCAGGCAGATCATGAGGTCAGGATATCGAGACCTTCCTGGCCATGGTGAAACCCTGTCTCTACTAAAATACAAAAAATTAGCTGGGTGTGATGGCATGCACCTGTAGTCCCAGCCACTCAGGAGGATGAGGCAAGGGGAATTGCTTGAATCCGGGAGATGGAGGTTGCAGTGAGCCAAGATCATGCCACTGCACTCTAGCCTGGCGAAAGAGCAAGATTCCATCTCAATCAATCAATCAATCAATCAATCAGTTCTAGATGCTGGATGACAAACTCCACCTAATAATTTTTCCTTGAAAGCTCACATTGAAAAGTCACTCCTAAATAAACAAACTAACAAAAAGTATTCATATAAGAGCTTATAAAAATTGTTTCAAGATCTCAGTGAAATGCTGTATCATCAATATCAAAGGAGTAACAGCAGAATTAGAAACCACTTTTGACTGAAATATTCAGAGTGGGAGTGGTTCAGTTAGAATACAAATATATCCACAAAGCAAAAGACCCTGCATACTAAAGCTTATTTTATTATTCCCATGATTTCATTAACCATAAAATCTCAGTGAACTAGATGCAGAAGTCCACCTATTACATAATTCTATTTCTATGAAATGTCCAGAACAGACAAACTCAGAGAGACAGAAAGTATATTAGTAGTTGCCAGGGCTTGAGGGGAAGTGATGCTAACTAGGATGGAGATGATTTTGGGGTGATGGAAATGTTCTTGAATTAGATAGTAGTGATGATTGCATAACTGTGTGAATACACTGAGAAATACTGAGTTGTGTATAGTAGTCCCCCTTATCCAAGATTTTATTTTTTGTGGTTTCAGGTTAACTATGGTCCAAAAATAGGTGAGTACAGTACAATAAAATATTTTGAGAAAGAGATCACATTCGTATAACTTATTACTATATATTATTATTATCCATTTTATTATTAGTTATATTGTTAATCTCTTTACTGTGCTTAATTTATAAATTTAAATTTGTACAGTGTGCTGTTATCTCCAGTTCCAGGCATGCACTGGGAGTCTGCAGTGTGTCCCCTGCTGCGAAGTAGGATAAATCCTACTACTGTATTTCAAAAGGGCGAATTTTATAGAATGTGATTTTATGTCTCAATTTTTAAAATCTCAGTGAAAGAGAATGTTAGGCAAGCCTGAATTATTTTACTAGTTAGGTGATAATTTGACTTTTTTCCTGCCAAATGGATTAGCATTCTTAATCTCCAAAACTTTTTTTTTTTTGGGGGGGGCTAGGAAGGCTTCAGTTTGTGTGACAGTTTGTGTTATTTCATTCTTTTTGAATCTCTGTGAATTTTGTTTTTTTATTTTCTAGTAAAAGGTAACTTGCCTCATTTTGTGATCCACAATACAGTGTTCCCAAAAATGTTTTCCAAGAGATAGAAGCCTCATGTAATATTAAAAGTTGCTCAAATAAGTTTGGCAAATGCTTGGTAGTCCAAAATTAAAATACTGTTTCAGCTTGGCGTCTCAGAGCTCTTAAAAGACTATGTGCACCGTGAATTCCTAAAAGGAAACAAGCCAAGGATGTCCACTTTTAACACTCCTATTCTGCATTTTATTAGAGGATATTGCCAGAGTAATTAAGAAAATGAGATAAAAGTCTTCTGGATTGTAAAGAAGAAATAAATCTATGTCTTTTTATAAATGACATGATCTTATAAATAGAAAGTCCTAAGGAATCTACTGAAAAACTGTTGGGCAAGCAAGCAAGGTTAACCAAGTTGCAGGCTACAACAAGATCAATGTATAAAAATGCATGAAATATATAAAATAAAATATGTAAAAATTTATAAAAATCAATTAGCAATGAACAATCAAAAATGAAATTAAAATCACAGTTCCAGTTATAATACCATTAAAAAGAATACAACACTTATGAATAAATTTGTCAAAAAGGTGCAAAATTTTACACTCTGAAAACTACAAAACTTAGTTGAAAGAAATTTTAAATGACTTAATTACATGAAATACATACCGTGTTTGTATTTCAGAAGACTTAGTTTTGTTAGATAGCAGTACTCCCCAAATTGGCCTACAGATTCCACACAATTCCCATCAGAAGTTCAGCTCTCTTTGTGGGAATTTGCAATCTGATTCTAAAATATGTTTGAAATTCTGAGGGACCCATAATAGCCAAATTAATCTTGAAAAAGAGGTATGAATTTGGAGAACTCACAGTACTTATTTCAAAACTTAAGCAATGGGAATCAAAACAGTGACACACTACAGAAGGATATAGATCAGTGAAAAGAATTGAGCATTCAGAAGTAAACTGTCACATTTATTATCAATTTTTTTAATAATGATGTCAAGGTAAATCAATGGTGAAGAATAACCTTTTCAACAAATGATACTTAGACTACTGGATATCCACATGAACTTCAACCCCTACCTCACATCACACACAAAAATTAACTCAAAATGGATCATAGACTGTAATGTGGTGCTGAAATCTTGAAACTTAGAGAACAATTAGGAGTAAATCTTTGTGACCCTGAATTATGTAATGGTTATCTTGACTATGACATCAAAAGCACAAGGGTTAAAAGAAACACTAGATAAATTGGACTTTGTCAAAATTTTAAACTTTTGTATTACAATGGACTCTGTCAAGAAAATGAAATCATAAGAATGGGATAAAATATTTACAAATAAATCACATATCTGATAAGGGACCTGTGTCCAGAATATGTAAAGAACTCTTACAACTCAAAAATAACATGAAAACCTAATTTAAAATAGGCAAAGGATTTGAGTAGATATATATCCAAGATATAAAAATGACCAATAAACACATGTAAAGATGTTCAACACTATTAGTCATTAGGGAACTGGAAGTTAAAACCACACCTGTTAGGATGACGATAATAGAAAAGATATCAAATGTGGAGATATTGGAATTATAGAGGATATATGGAAAACCCAAAGTGTTTTTCCCACTCTCACACGTTCAATAGAGCACCCAATCTAATGCTTCTGATACTGGATGTGTGAGGGTTGTTTCCCTACATACAAAGTGGACATTTAGTAGGGTTTTCCATAATTTAGTTCACCGTAATCCAACTTTGACACTGCCTACTGCAGATAGTGTCCGATCCCCTAGATTAAGGGCTCAGTCTCACAACACTACCCTCTTCCCACTTCATAGTTCACTTGCAAGCCTCAGGTTGTGTCTGTGCTTCTGATTGACTGGCAATACGCCAGGGTT